TGATAATGATGCTGATGATAGTGGTGGTGGTGGTAATGATAATGATGCTGATGAAAGTGGTGGTGATGATAATGATGCTGATGCTGATGATGGTGGTGATGATGACGATGATGATTGATACTGATAATGATACTGTTGTTGACGACCATGATGTTTATGATGCTGCTGCTTATGATAATGACAATGGTGATGTTGATGCTGGTTGTTCTATCAAATCATTTTGCATGTGCGCAGGGAACAATCCTACTGGTAATTGATATATTTCCAGGAATTCAGATTAAAAAACCCACATACCTTTCATTCAATAATGATGCTGTTCAGTGCGTCCAAGTTTTATTACAAAGGTGTTAGTTGCCTCGAAACTCAACTTCATCTCTTATTCTCTTGCCTTAGGTTGTTATTTTGGTCAGATTGGGACAAAATCGCTCCACGCATTACAAGATCCAATCTTGATGGCTCGTCTCGCCGTGTTATTGTAAACAGCCGATTGGGGTTTCCTAACGGTCTAACCATAGACTTCCAAGGCTCTTTGCTGTATTGGTGCGATGCTAAGAAAGATGTCATCGAGGTTGCTGCTCTAGATGGAAGTTCAAGGTTGGCTCTTACTTCCTCTTAACTTAGACTAGTCAAAATTATACAGAGCATGCTATATAACCGTGAAAAGCTAACTATCAAAATTGTACAAATTAGTTCAAAGTTTTGTAGGTCTACGATCTATAGGTTGCTATCAATAGACGTCACTTCCGGTAATAGCCCTTTTTTGATGGCTTGTAGAATCCTGGAGGTTGTTTTGATCTCTTGTTTTCTGGTTTGATGTCGTGAAAATAGTCAAATACAATAGTTCGAGGGCTTATTCTGATATGTTTTGACTTAGCATCCGCTAGCTGCCCCCCCAGTCAACCGCTTGTTTGCCCCCCAGTCAACTCCAAAAAGTCACGTGATTGATAGTAAGCAACTGAGGTCTATTGGACGTTTTGGAAATTTGTGCAACTGACCTCTTCAGCTCTGACTTAATGTTTTCCCATTTCGGACCATTCCCTAGAGTATCATTTCTTTGTTTAAAGTTTGCGCTCGGTTGCACATGAGAAGACACATGAATATGGATACAATTCAAACAAAGAATCTTATTCTCAGGGGAATGACACGTGGTCTGCAATGGGAAAACATTACCCCAAGCCGAAGAGGTCCATTTCTTACATCGTTTTTCACGGAGTTTTAGTATGCACTCCAATAGTCGTAAACTCTTTAAGAGTTTTATAAAAATCATATGAGCAGTTGTTCAAAGCCGAGCTATTGCCAGGGCTAATCCAGTGTCGCTTACCTAGACTAACCCTTATCTAACATGAGTGCGTTTAGCTTTAGATATTATAAAAATAACAAACTGATAAAGAAAGGGTTAATGTATACCATACATCTTCATGACAGACCATACAAATAATGACTTAGTTATATTTCACGTTAAATCTATTTTCTCTTGTTTCTAAGGATATTCTTGTTTCTTAGTATATTCTTTACTAATCCCTTACTCAACTCCTTCCTCTCCTCTTCTTCTTGCATGGAAATACGGTTAACGATTTATCACAGTGTTTGAATGGAAAAGATTATTCATCGTGGTTATAAATCAAAGATTATACTTTATTCATTTGTCTCACGCTTGTGCTAGTTGGGAGGACCGTGACGTTTCGACTGCTACTCAGGTGATGATGTAGACTGGGAGGTGGTCTTCTTGTATACTGTCAGTCTAGCTCCCTTGAGGATCGCGCCGGGGCTTATCACAGTGTTTTGTTAAATGTCTATTTTTAGGCGTGTCCTATACAGAYCCCCCGCTCTGCTTCATCCTTTTGACATCACCTTGTATCGAGATGTTCTATATCTCACTGACTGGAAAAAGAAAGCCATCTTGTTTGCTCCAAAGTCTGGTAATGGCATGGTCGCCGTCCTCAGAGGTGACTTTCCGAACATTTTTGGAGTCCAAAGTTATTCCACGGAGCGACAGACAGGTGAGACGTTTCTGATATTATTTTTCACGGTCAAGAAAACTACTGGGGGTTACCCGATCGTCAGTTTACTAAATATTTTAGGCCAATTATCAGTTAACTTTAAATCCCCATCTACACCCGTCCAGTTCCCCTCAGCTACCACTGCACTTGGGCATAATGTTTTCTCATTTCACACCACGTGTCATTCTCTTGAGTAGCATTTCTTTATTTATCCATCGCTCATGAGAAGACATGAATATTTTATTCATTTTTTAAGGTACAAACGCGTGTGCTAATAGCAATGGTGGCTGCAGTCAGATATGTCTTGCTACTAGTCCCACTACTCGACGATGCGTGTGTGAAGTTGGCTTCAAACTCAACCCTGATCAAAAAACGTGTCAAGGAATGAACAGTTTTGTGCTGTATTCAACTGCAAAAGGTAAAAACAATGTAGCCGTAGATGAAGTATACAGCCATTTCAAAAAACGTTGAAGGGGCGAACGGCAAATGGCAGTCGGTGATTGGCAATTGCACGACCGAAAGGCACTGTGGGCATGCATCGAAACACTAACTCACCCTACACGGCACATGCCAGCAGGCAAAATATCAAATTATGTATTAACCACTATTTTGTATGGATTGTCTCGATTCAGTCATCTATGGTGTTTCTTTGAATCAAACGGACAATACTTCAGCCATGAACCCCATTCAAGACCTGCGCAGTATCAACTCCATTGATTTCCTGTTTAAAGGAGAGTGGATTTTCTACTGTTATGGGCGCGCTATTGGTCGCGTTAATAGAGACGGAACAAGAAAAAAGATTATCATAAGCACAGGCCTAAGCCGGCCACAAGGGATTGCGGTAGACTGGGTTGGGAAGAATCTATTTTGGACAGACGCTGGTACAGACCTTATAGAGGTACTCATTGAAAATATTTTTTCAATGGATGGTCTACATAATTGCTTTTTATAGGGAGAAGTTGACCGTATTCCAATTATTCCTTGAATGCTTTGGGATTGTTAACAGGTGTATGGAAAGTATCCAATTAGCCATTCCGAGGTTAAGGAAGAAACTCGTTCGAGTTTGAATTGGAGTGTATTATGGGGCTGTTTTAGGGACATATATCCAAGATGGCGTCTGTTTTGTATCCTAAATCAGTCCCCACAATACACTGCTATTCCAACGCTATCCATTTTTCCCCCTCAACCCCGGAATTGCCAATGGGTTTTGTTTTCACGTGAAGAACAACACGTGGATCCTACTTTTGCATGTTACGTCATCGTTGTTACGGGATAGTATTAATTAAATCTTACTTCTCACTAGTAAGATATATGGTAATATAGCGTAAAAAAGTYATGCACGGGTTCACGAGACAAGGTTCATTAGGGACGGCGGAATAGTTTTTAAAGGGGGGACTGCATTCCTCCCTTCCCATCCCAAAATAAAATGTAATTCTCGTAAAAAGTGGGAAAAAAGGGGGGGYTWACCCCMSCYCCCCCCCCCCCCCGAATTCGCCCCTCCAGTTTATTTTGCTGCTGAAAAGCAGTCCTCCACTGAACGTTTGAATACCTTCGTATACTGAATGCTTGTCTGTTAAAGGTGAGTCGGCTGAATGGGTCAAGTCGACTAGTGCTGATATCCACAGGCCTAACAGAACCACGCTCCATCGTAGTCTACCCAAATAAAGGGCTCCTGTATTGGACAGACTGGGGTTCTCCTGCCCGCATCGAACGAGCATCCATGGATGGATCACAAAGACGTACCTTGGTGAGGGGCTCGATTATAAGGCGTCCTTCAGGGCTTGCTATTGATTATGGACAAGACATGGTTTACTGGGTCGACTTGAGGAAAGACACGATATGGAGGATGAACTTGGACGGAGGTAAAGTACACATCTTTAATATCATCCATGCCCTGGAGCAATAATTGCTCTCTTACGTGTTAATATATACAGCTATTTTAAAAATGGTTAATGGAGGTGATTTGAACAACTTATGTTCTGGACTGAGTAGCCTCGTGTTCACATTGAAATTGATCGTCATATTGCTATTTTGTGTATACGTACCTCTGGCCTGACTGATCTGAAGCCAGGGCACGCGGCCTCTCACAGATCGATGTAATTTTTTATAATCTTAGAACTCCAAAACTAAGCCAAACGGAATTTTTTTAAGTGAATGAAATAACGAGTAATGTCAATTGTCAATTATGGTTCCACAGGCGATCAGAAACTTATTATCAATAAGCTTAGACAGCCAAGTGGCCTGACATTATATGGTGACTATTTATATTGGACTGATCGTAATAAGGACATCATCCAGTCAGCCAACAAGAACAACGGCTCTGATATGCAAGAAAGAAAGACTGACGCCAACCCGCGGGACGTTCGCGTGTATGACGCGCGACGACAGCCAGCTAATGGTCCCTGTATGAAGAATGGTGGTTGTGCAGAACTCTGTCTAGCAGTTAGCAGCAAGAAAAAAAGGTTGGTCCTCAGTCAAAGAAAACTTCAAAGTTTATCGAACCCTGAAACAACCTCTGGGCTGATCTAAGTAATGGCACGGCTAACTCACAGATAGAACCCTGAAACAACCCGGTTCTGGGATGATCAAAGTCAGGGCACTGTTAGATTTTTAGAGTGTTAGTGATTTTGGGGAGGGAGGAAAAACGAAGAAACCCAAAAAACCCTCAAATCAAGGAAGAAACTTAACAAACTCTACTCACATGTGATGCTAAGTCCAGGGATCAAACCCGGGACCCCAGAGATGAGAGAGAGAGTACACTACCGCTACGCCACCTTCAGGGCCCGTACGAAGCCTGGATAGCGCTATCCGACGGATACATTTTGTCCAATAAATTTATTGGATAACAGCATCGGCTTATCCAATGAAGTAGGATTTATCCGCCGGATAGCGCTATCTAGACTTCGTACAACCGGACCCAGTTGAATGTATCTTTTTCAGTTTATTAATTTTCCTCCTTTCTGATAATATAGGTGTGCTTGTCCTTCTGGTCGTCTTGGTGTAGACAAACAATCCTGCGTCAGTCAGTCCAACCTAATAATCGTAGCTGATATGCATACTATCGAGTCTTTGTCCATCATCCCAGGAACCAAAGCTTCTACCAGTCATGTTATTTCTCGTTTCAACGGTGAATACCTACAAAGGGATGCGGATTATGACTATGACAGTGAAACAATATTCTTCATTGATCCCGCGGGACCTACCACGATTAAATCGGTCAAAATTGACGGGACGGACCCGAGAAATATATCTCAAGGTGAGGCTGGAAACTAAACCTTTAACTTTTAACCATAAAATAGCGCCTTTTGGATTTTTCGGAGGATATAAAACATTGACATTTTTTTGATAGCCAGAATTAACAACGTCTGGGTTAACTTGAGAGAACGCGAAGAAAAATCATTGAATCAAGGGAGAGTTCTAACAGATTCTACTCACATGAGTCTACGAATCAAAACCTCTACGCCACCCTTGATTGCCAAGAAAACAAGATTGTTTACCCTTCACTGTGCTTACATCGATAGCAAAAATGTTGTCATTTGTTTAACCTGTGATCTATACTTATTTTTAGCTCTCTTTAAGTTTTAAGGTTTAAGAGGTAAGCACCCCTGAAGTTAAGTTTGTGCGCGTTATGCTTGCATCGATAGTAAAGATATTATCACTCTAAACGACATAGTTAAGCTGCATACTCTTTAAGCTATCGGTAATGCATGACCAATAAGAGAAGTTTGTACCCAAGCTAGACCGCAATGCGCTATGTGTGCGTCTACGAATGATGGTCATTATAAAGCTTCTTTTTCTTGTGAACAGAAATCGAGTCTCCTGCTGGGCTTGCTATCGACTGGGTTGAAAAACACATCTATGTTGTGGACAGTGAATCTAAAACCATCAGTAGAATGTACTTCAATGGTTCATCGGTACAGAAAGTAATAACAAGAGAGAAACGCCTGCCTGGTTCTATTGCACTGGTCCCTTGTGAAAAGTAAGAATACATAACTGGCTGTTATTAATATGATGGTGAGGGTAATGATGGTGGTAAGGGTGTTGATAATGATAGTGATTGTGGTGGTAGTGGTGATGATAACGGTGTTGATAATGATAGTGATTGTGGTGGTAGTGGTGATGATAATGGTGTTGATAATGATAGTGATTGTGGTGGTAGTGGTGATGATAAGGGTGTTGATAATGATAGTGATTGTGGTGGTAGTGGTGATAATAAGGGTGTTGATAATGATAGTGATTGTAGTGGTAGTGGTGATGATAACGGTGTTGATAATGATAGTTATTGTGGTGGTAGTGTTAGTGTGATGATGATGGTAGTGGTGATGATGGTAGTGGTGATGATGATGGTAGAGGTGATGGTGGTAGTGATGGTGATGGTGGTGATGATGGTAGTGGTGATGATGATGGTAGGGGTGGTAGTAGTGGTGGTGATGGTGATGGTGGTGATGATGGTAGTGGTGATGATGATGGTAGGGGTGGTAGTAGTGGTGGTGATGGTAATGGTGGTGATGATGGTAGTGGTGATGATGATGGTAGGGGTGGTAGTAGTGGTGGTGGTGGTGATGACGATGATGATTTACGACTAATGGCCTTTTTTCTCTTGAACAGAATGATGTACTGGATCGAGAACGGTTTTCAAATAATGTCAGCGKGGATGAATGGAAAAGGATTAAAGACAGTGTTAAAAGCCAACTCACGGTTACTATACGACATAGCGGTGGATTATACCGAAGGAAGGCTGTACTGGCTAAGGGTGGATGGGTAAGTGAAAAGGGAAAAACCATTTTAAGCGGTTTTTTCCAGGAAAGGATATGCGCAACAACCCTCTGTGCAATCTCACATCTGCAGTCTCAGGTTTAATTCCTGGACTCGGCATAACATGGGGGTAGAGTTAGTCCCGGGGGGTACTCTTACCCGTTTAGGGTAGGGATGTGCCGCTGAGCCCTCTGAACCCTGACCCTGTTCCAGAGTAACGAATCGCTGAAATCCATACCCTGTTCCAGAGCAAGATTGAAATATGATTAAATGAACTTGAAGATCGCTGAAAATCATACCCGGTTTCGGTATTTCGAAAAGGGATACCCTGTTCCAGAGAGGAGAAAGCGTGATTTCATATACCCTGTTCCATAGTATAATCGCTGTGGAGTACCCCTCCCCCGGGAGAGTTAGGTGTTTCTCTACGTAGTTCCGACTCTGACAATACCGAAACAATCACTGTTGCAGCAGTTTCCCCATTGGAATTAAAATCTTGTCCCTCAAACAACTACACACAATGTTTACGAGGGAATTTTTTTATTCTTTTCGCAGGACAGTAAACTATTGAAACAATTTATAGCCAATTTTCCCCGAACAGAGTTTTAAATTCTGAGACATTCTAGATAATGTTTAAGCTTGTGGGACATAGCAACGATAACTAAGGGGATTCGGAACCATGAATTGATTCGAGGGTTATCTTTAGGTTTCCTCCCGCTCCGCAAAACCAGACACGCTAAGCTTCAGTTTGATCCGTGAATTAGCTATGACCTGAGCTAGAACACCCGAGCGGTTGTTTCAGGATTCGAAAAAATAAATGAAAGACGTTAAATAAAAACGCAATTTCTTTTCATTCACAGGATAGAGTCTTCACATCTTGACGGCTCAAATCGTCAAGTCGTAGCTTCCGTCAGGGCGGTGTCCATATCTGTATTTGGCGAGTTTATTTACTGGAATGATTGGAACCAGCGTGCTATAATGAGAGCTAACAAGTATAATGGCGGTAACCCAGTCAAAGTGATAAGCGATAGAAATATTTACCAGATCCTGGACATGACGGTATATGCAAGAGAAAAACAAGATTGTAAGTAGAGAGAGATGATATGGTCGAATACAAACGTTAGACTTCGCATGAGCCCAACCTAATAACATAAAAGAACACCACCTCATTATCCATTGTTTTCAATGCGTACGGCTCACGTGAAGCCATGGAAATAAAACCGAACATATAATTTTTATGAAACTTTACACGATTGTTAAGAAAGGCATAGCTATTCCAGAAATGAAATAAAAATGGGGGTCACCTTGTTTGTTTTGGACCTAAATGACGTCAACTACTACTTCGCAGGCTACAAGCTACCACAAGCTACAATATGCAAGTTAATATTAGCTTTTAGTAAAAATACACAGGTGATTATTAAAAATCTCGCGCTATGATTGGTCGAGAAACTCACACTATCATACGATAATCACCTCCAGCGACAATCCAAAATGGCAGCCAGCCGCTTTCTTTCTGTTACTAGAAAAAAATGTCTTTTATCTTCTTTTTTTTCTTTTTTCTTTTGAAAGAATCACCTGTGTATTTATACTAAAACAATTATTTGCCTCAGCCTCAGTAAATATCGGAGAATATTTACCTCGCCGCTCGAAGACTCGAGTCTCGGTAAATATTCCCCGATATTCACTTCGCCTTCGGCGAATAATTGTTAAGTAAAGGCGTTCTTTAAGCACCCTTATTTCATCTTTTTCATTGATTTAGGTACGATCAAACCCTGTGTTCTCAATGGTGGCTGTTCACAAATCTGCACAGCAATTGATGGGATCCCTGTGTGTTCCTGTCATCCTGATCATCTTCTAGTTGATGGTTACCGATGTGTCTCCATCGATGCTTCCTGCCCGTCCAATCGCTTCACATGTTCTAATGGCAGATGTGTTCCTTATTTGGCTGTCTGTGATTCGTACGATGATTGTGGTGACGGTTCTGATGAACTCTCGAAACTTTGTGGTAAGATTTTATTAATAACTTAAAGGGGCACTTGGATGAAAACGCCCCTATTTTTGAATGTCCGAATAATTGAAGTATTTGAGGATAATATGACTCAATTATAATTATGACAATAGATTAGCGAAAATTTTAGCCTGGGAGCCACTCGCTGTTGAGATATTTTGGGTTAAAAGTGAAAAGACCAATAGAGTTGAGCAAAAGACGTCATTTACTCACAATTTAGATGTTGAATAAAATTGATAGTTTTTTCCCGCCACTTTTTACTGTGATGGAAACATGTTGCTTGGCTACTATCTGGGCCATATAAATAAGTTTAAACAAGTTTCAAGTCATTTCCAATGAATTTTTATTGATTTTCATCCAAGTGCCCCCTAATAATTTGTTAACAACTCGCTTATTTTTTGACTTGACAGTCTAGACTGTAAGCAGCCGCTCTTTTTTCGCTTTACTTTTGTTCTTCCCACCCCACATCCCTCCCCCAGGGATATTGGTCTATAAATTAAACCAATGCTATTCACATTTCTGGAGGTCTAACAGGAGAAGTGGGAAGCATGGGGTAGCGGTGAGAGCGCTCGCCTCTAACCAATGCGACCCGGAATTGATCCTCGGTCTTTTTGTATGTGAGTAGAGTGGTTCTCTCCTGTGCTTTGAGGGTTTTTCTGGGGGTTCTACGGTTTTCCCCCTCCGCGAAAAATCGACTTTAGACGACTTGCACTAAGAGGTCACGTGATCAAATCGGCCATTGTAGCTGGCATTCTACAGGATTTTAACTATGCGAGAATGTAAAAAAAGATGGCGGATAAGGGTAGTTTCTTTTTCGTGATAAAAGGTAAGTTAGCGCACTAAATAATGATAAAAAAAGGGCCTAGTTGAAAATTACTCTGTGTAATTCTAGTTTACCAAATTGTGTAGTATTTGCCTATAAACTAATATTCTCTAAAACTGAACTTTACCTGTTTTTAAAATTGAAAATTGGTTTTAACTAAATACCGCTGGTTTCCTTTCAGCCACGTGGTCTTGTGGTCCCAAACAGTTCTCGTGCAATAACGGTCGCTGCATCAATGCAAACTGGAGATGCGACTATGAAGACGACTGCGGGGATGGTAGCGATGAAATAGGCTGTCCTCCACAGTCGTGTGCCGGACATGAGTTCAGGTGTAATAATGGCCGATGTAAAGCGTATGACTTGAAATGTGATGGGGACAATGACTGTGGAGACTTTAGTGATGAGATAGGCTGCCCTGATGTAACCTGTTCTGCGGGTAAAGTTAAGGTAAGTGGCGTTTTATTAGTAGTGAGTACTAGGCGTATATCGTAAACAAACATAACAAGTTTTGTTCTTGTTTTTTGTTTTGTATTTGTTTTTTTTGTTTTTTGTTTTTTTGGTTTTTTTTTGTTTATTATTATTATTATTATCTTTTGTGTGTGTGTGTGTGTCTGTTTTGTTTTTGTTGTTGTTGTTGTTGTTTTGTTTTGTTTTTTTTGTTTTTTGTTTTTTTGCACAAAAATTATAGGATTTACAGAATTTTATGTAGAAAAACTGAAAACCACATAAAACAAAACTGACTAGCTGTTTTTGTTAGAGTGAAATAAATAAACTGAAGTAGAAAAGTTAGAGCCTGGAGTCTAGGCTAACTGAGAGGTTTTCGAGTTAGACCCCGATCAGTAAACAACTAACCAAGACAATGAAACAAACAAAATAAGTAAACAAGGATACAAACAAGCAAACAAACAATAAAAAGAAATTGTTACCGGATTGTTATCTATTTTTGAAAGAGTTTTTAATTCTTGTGAAATGTTTTCCATGATAGTGTGGGTCTAAAAACATATGCATTCACAAGAGCTGGATATGTGATGGTAACAACGACTGCGGTGACAACTGGGATGAACAACCTGCGGTCTGCTCCAATAGTACATGCGCATCGTCTCAGTTTCAATGCATCAACAGTAGATGTATTCCGAGTCGCTGGTACTGCGATGGCGAGAACGACTGTGGCGATATGAGTGACGAACCTTCAARCTGTAAGACTCCACAGACGACCTGTTCGAGCGAAATGTTTACTTGCAGAAATGGTGAGTGTCGATGATTTACTGTCTTACAACTCATAGACCGACACTTCCATAAACGGCTGCTGCTAATTTGCATAAACATTAAAAATCAATGTTTTTGGAGTGAAAACCCTTTTAAATCATTGTACTTGTTGATTTAGATAAGGCGTGTGAGTTTCTGATTAAAGTAATAAATCCTTTACAAGATGTGAGCATTTGAAGTTTTGAAAATGCACCAAAACAAGGCCACCAAGGCTTCCAGTGATAAATACATACAAAACTCGCTACTATTTTCTTTATTTCATAACTTCTTTGGTATTCAGTCAAGTTTTACAAAATTTTCTGGAAATGTTGTTCATGAAGTATTTTCTCAAATAGCATTGATAGTTTCTGGTAAACAGGCTTTATTTTCTCTATCAGAAAAAACTGAATTATGAAAGTGGTCCAAGTGGTAGCACCAAGACAAGGCCACGACACAGCAGTAATACGTTCCTGCTCTTCTAGGTCGCAATTTTATGCGCGTCAAGACCTATACCATACAACTTTAACCATCAATATTTCCAAGTGAACGTGTCGCTTCTGATTGGCTGATTTTGTAGCACTGCTAGTCTTTTGAGCCAATCACATCCAAGAATTCTTAGGTGTATTTTACGGTTGCATCGGAAACATTGATATATTTTTATTTATTTAAACGTATTTAATCACATATTAAAACCAAGAGCAAAAGCGCATCGAGTTTACTTTATATCTATTTACACATGAAACTAAATTACATGGAGCACGTAGAACAAACATTGATATGCATCCAGCTGAGCGGTGAACGCGGCGCGCAAAGCATGAGTGGACAAAATCACCTGCCCTAAGCATTTTTGGAGCTTGAAAGAACAAAGCAAATATGGCGCTTAAGTGAAATTATTTTATTCTTTCTTTCCATATTTCAGCTTTTTGTAGGCATGTATATTATATGTTAGTCAAAAGAAAACAGACAAAATACGCAAAAGTTGGGGGCCGGCGGCAAAACAGCTAAACGCCTTGTGATTGGCTGAAACAAAGTTCACCGCCCAGCTGGATAATAATAGCGCAACCATGGATATGTATAATTATAATGATTTACTGTATGTATCCACAACATAGGTAACTGTATATCTCCCCAATTCCTTTGTGACGGAGATGATGACTGCGGTGATGGYTCGGATGAACCCAGCGGAGGTTCCTCATGTCCTAAGCGTAACTGCAGCGGTACGGAGTTCACTTGTGTAAAAACCTCACGCTGTATACCGCTTTCCTATATGTGCGACGGCGATATTGACTGTAGTGATGCGTCAGACGAGAGCCCGAGTTTAAATTGTATCCAGTCCACCTGCCAACCCTCGCAGTTCAGGTAAGTGAACTTAGACTTCTGGCTGACAGCACATTGTGGTCAGTGTGTGACCACCATTTGGAGCAGATAATCAGGCTCAAATAAAACCCAACAATGAAAGATGTAAGTCAACTTAGACTTCTGGCTGACAGCACATTGTGGTCAGTGTGTGACCACCATTTGGAGCAGATAATCAGGCTCAAATGAAACCCAACAATGAAAGATGTAACAATACATTGACTTTGAAGACTTATTAAACATATGTCTGATTATTTAAAAATAAAATCATTAATTTTGTTTGAAGCTTACCTTTTCCCCATCCCAACAGGTGCGCAAATGGGCTTTGCATTGAAAACCAATGGCGCTGTGACTTCGAAGATGACTGCGGCGATAATTCAGACGAGATATCCTGCGCAAACCATACTTGTGCTCAAGATCTATTCACCTGTAGAAGCGGGCACTGTATCTCAAAGAAAAACGTCTGTGATAAAAAGATCGACTGCATAGACAGATCCGACGAAGATCCTGCTCTCTGCACCACTACACCGCTACCGACGTGCGGCAAGGGCTTCTTCAAGTGTGCCAATGCTAAATGCATCAATGAAAGCCTGGTTTGTGACAAGGTGGATCACTGTGGGGATTTATCCGATGAAAGACAATGCAATATCAACGAGTGCCTGCGCACCCAGAACAAGGTTTGCGCACACTTCTGTCATGATACACAAACTGGATTCACGTGCTCGTGTAGACCGGGATATGAACTATTGGCTGACGGCAGTAGCTGTCGAGACATCGATGAATGCGCTGACTACTCACTAAACAACTGCAGCCAGTTTTGCATCAATCAGAGGGGTTCTTACAAGTGTACTTGCGCGGATGGGTATTATCTAGAGCCCGGGAACAGACGCACCTGCAAAGCCATTGGACGAACTGATAAACCTTATTTAATTTTTACGGAACGCGATGAAATCCGTTCCATGGATATCGACGGATGGTATAAAAACATCATAGTCAATAACACTAGAGCTTTGGCTGTAGACTTTGATTTCAAAGAGCGTAGAGTATACTGGACACAGGTTGGCAGTAACCCTCTTATTGGTCGATCACTCCTTGATGGCACGAAGGTTGAGGTGATAGTTAAAGACGAAGAGAATCTAGTATCGCCTGAGGGAATCGCGGTGGATTGGGTCGGGAGGAACTTGTATTTTAGTGATTCAGTAAAAGACAAGATTTTCGTATCAACTTTAGCTGGGAAATACTTGAAGACGATTGTGGACAAAAACTTGAACGAACCAAGAGCGCTTGTTGTTGTCCCTAATGAGGGTAAGGAGAATCTTCCATCCCTTTGTAACTTTTCCAGCTTTCTTGACTTATTCAATTTTCTGTTTTCTTCAGGTTACTTGTTTTACACCGACTGGGGTTTCTTTCCTCACATTGGCAGGGTAGGACTGGATGGCTCTTCCCCAGGCCCTATCGTCCAGACAAACCTAAGGTGGCCCAATGGTCTTACAGTGTGCCATATCACCAAAAAACTGTTCTGGGCAGATGCCAAGTTGGATATCATTGAATACAGTAACCTTGATGGAACCAAGAGAACGCAGCTCTTCACTCTTCGAGTACGGCATCCCTTTGGACTTACGGTTTTTGAAAATTTTCTTTACTGGACTGATTGGAGAGATAAAACTGTGAACCGCGTGTTCAAATGGACTGGCAACGACCATATTATCCTGCTTAACTCGACCTTTAAACTCCACGGAATTCAGGTAATGCAACCCTTTCGTCTCTAAAATAACCTACTAATTAGTTATTATTTTGCTAAGCTCCTGTTTACATCAATGTACGTACGGTCACCTTACTGCTGGGGCCATCTTTGTGATCTTCCCAAGAAAAGAAACGAAGTCTTCCTAGCACCATATCACCACACCTTCCTGTGAATTATAATAACTTTATTTCAACTGCTAATAAAATGGATATATTAAATATATTTTGTGAGAGAAATTTTGATTCCGCTAATGCTAATATTGACAAGTTTTATTGAACTCTGCTTTACGCAAGATATAATGATTTGTCAGTGACATGCAATCAGTCCTTTGCTGATGCCGGAAGATTACCTTTCAATGAAAAGTCAAGTTAGGTTTTGAAAAATGGAGCTTAATAACTGATATATCATTTGACGAGCAACTACTTTATGATATTTGAAAGTGTCGCCATGTTTACTGAATGAATAGTAGTATGCAAGTTTACCGCACTGCGCATGCACAGACTATTATTTACGCGCCGCTATTTGTTTAGATTAGATTTACTATAAAATTTCATTATTTACAGGCATCTACCCTTAATGATTTTTTAAAAAACTTTTTTACGATAATTTCGCACTTTTTTCATCTATACATATATTTAACTTAATATTAGAAATATTTCGCTTTTAGTATTTATTAGTATTTTAGATGCATAGTGTTTATTTTGTTTCTCATACTACTAATACACTCAACAAAATTACTCGATTCTGATTGGACAAGAGAAGTACAATTAAATCCCAAATTGCACTCTGTCGAGTCCACATTAAATTCCTCAATTTCGTTGAGTGTATTATAAACAAAAAATCGCTAGTACAATTCGGAATTTATAGATACTCGTGATGTTTTGAAAGTTCCCAAATTGGACTAGCCCAAAGGTTTCAAAACTTTCAAAACATCACTCGTACTTCCGAATTCCGAATTATACTCTAGATCGTGCAATTTCCTATACTAAAAGTAGGATATTATTGTCATTATTATTATTATAATTATTATCATCATCTTTATTATTATTATTCGAATTATTATTATTTGTCCCGTCGTAGGTGGTACATCCCAGCCGTCAGCCCCATTATTCCCATCCATGCTCCAAGTCGCCATGTAACGGCTTGTGCCTTCTGACACCCAGCGGTAGCTACAAGTGCGCATGCGCAGACAACATGCACCTCGCAAACGACGGAAAAACCTGTCTTGAAAACTGTACGAATGATGAAAGGAGGTGTAATAACTATCGCTGTATCTCAAGGCACTGGGCGTGTGACGGACAAAACGACTGTGGTGATAACAGTGATGAACCAACAGGCTGTCCTAAACGTTACTGTCCACCAGGTATTATTCTTAGGGGGCTTTCATTTATTAGCAAGAGGGGGGGGGGGGGGGGTAACCTAGTTCTGTACTCATCGATTCTACTGCGCATACGTATCTAATTTGTCTGCATTTGTGTTTCTCGTGTGAACATTGCTTGTGCGTTCGCTAGCAATTGCTTGCAATTGACTGTACATTGCTGTAATGTTCTTGTTCTTTTCACAGGCACATACCAGTGCACGAGTAGCCGTAATTGTATCTCACCCTTGCAAGTATGTAACGGAGAAAACGACTGCCCCACTGGTGATGATGAGCGCGGATGCAACGCCCTCCATTGCAATTCATATCAGTTTCGATGCAACAACCGACGCTGTATTTATAAAAGTCGTGTCTGTGATGGCGCGAATGACTGCCAAGATAGTCCGACTGGATCAGACGAACAGAACTGTCTAAAGGCTAAGTGCACCGAACATCAACATCAATGTATCAAGACCGGACGATGTATACCTAAGGACTGGTTGTGTGATGGTGATAATGACTGTGGAGACATGAGTGATGAGGCGGATGTGTTTTGCTCCAAGGCTTGTCCAAAGGGATTTTTCCGCTGTAAGATAAAGTATCAGTGTATTGAACAAAACAAGACGTGCGATGGGGTGTTTGATTGTGACGATAAGTCTGATGAAGATAACATGCTCTGTCCTGGTGAGTTAGTGTTTTAGCATGGTATTAAACAGACTTTTGTAATTGAGGGAAAATATGGTATTGGACACAGCCTTAACTACATGAAACGACTGACTACCTGACTGATGGTGTGACCGTCCAACCGACCGATCGACTGACAGTCTGACTGACCGTGGCTAACTTATTATAACCTATCGACTGATGGACTGACTTGACCTTTACACCTACATTTTTTTTACCTTTATACGAGTGCGCGTTTCCTCTTCTATTCCCTCTCCTAGACAAAAATCGGGAAGTGAACGGTTTTCTATCAGAAGAAGAGTATCGGGATGTATTCAATTCATTCTTTATTATATTGCATCACTCCACAGAAGCCAACTGTTCCAGATCATCAGGATTTTTCGCATGCCATGACAATCAGAAGTGCATCCCACTCAAATGGATTTGTGATGGAGAGCCAGATTGTGCAGACAATTCCGATGAAGATCTTTGTAAAGCCAGACCTCTTTTACCACATCAGTTCAGGTACGAAACCCTCTGAAGCACTCATCCCAATCTCTTTCTTTCTGGTTATAAGGCATCATAAAACCCTTACAAATGAGTGTAAGGCAGTACGGTTTATAACCTGGATTTTATTGTATCCAAATACCTATGGACGTAGCCAAAGAATGCACCGCTACTTAATCGCCACCCGGTTAGATCATTTGGTAAGAGAATCTGTTTGTTGTGTGGGAAGTCGTGGTTCAAGCCTTAACCAGACCAACACTCAAGGCCTTAAAATAACTTAGGAGGTGTTTTCTTTGTAATTACATTTGGAAATGGTTAGAACTTCATGTGGCTTGGATGACCACGTCGGTCCCGTCTCTAATCAAATAGAGGCGACCCGAAGCTTTTCAAAATCTACGACGGCGACGACTACCGGAAGTGTAAATAACTTCACTTTAGGGTTTCACGCCCTCAAAGTCCGTCTTTCCTGTGGACGAGTTGACTTTACTGACAATGTCTTGAATAAAATTCCTAATGGGCCGACTATCGTCGTGTACGGATTAACGAAGTACGTCATAGGTTTCCGAACACACGAGTGGGTTCTCCTCACTTAGAAAAAAAATTAAGTGAAGACACCAAGAATCGAACTCGGTACCTTCGGCACCAAAGAACTACTACAATGCCAACCCCAACCCTAACCCTAAACCTAACCCCTAGACCACGAAGTGAATTCGGTTGGGTGGTCTCATTTTTTAGTCATATTTAAACGATGTATCAGCATGTGCACATAAATATTTATTATAGTTTAATTTATGCTATCGTAGGGTACGATTACTAGCCGATTACTTGAAATTTGAATTTGAATAGAATTCCCCTGACAATTCCCGTACACGACGATACAACCCCCTAATGAGCAGAACCCCGAAGAGAAATTATTTACACTTTGAAAAGTCAAGATCGCTAGAGACGAGGTTATCAGTTGAATTACTGTCAAATATGTCATCTTCTATAAACAAACATTTTTAAAACTCTAATTTAATTTAAACTCATTCTATTTACATACTGATCTTCCCATCAGATGCAGGTCCGGTCGTCTTATTAACAACAAGTGGAAGTGTAATGGTCATGACGACTGTGGAGACAATTCAGACGAAGAAGGATGTGACAGATTCTTCTGTGGTCCAGGCCAGTTTAATTGTACTGTCAACAATCGTTGTATCGAGAAAGGTTGGAAGTGTGATGGAAAGCGAGATTGTGGCGATGCTGCTGATGAACAAGGTTAGAACTTTTTTAAGTAATGGTGTTTTGGCCATCTGTGATCATAAATAATAATAATAATAATAATAATAATAATAATAATAATAACAATAACGACGACGACGACGACGACAACAACAGCAACTTTATTAGTCAGGATTAACATCTTACCATGACTGATAATTTTCAGGTGACTCTCGGGATTATAAATAACTATATTATGTACACTTTGATTTACATCTAAAATAGAATGTTGCTAACTGTTTTTCTTTAATGTTTGCCATCAGGTTGCGTTAGTCGATATCCTGATGGCCGCTCGTGTCCTCTATCAAGATACCAGTGCAGCAATAATGTTTGTGTCAACAGGCTGTGGCTATGTGACGGGCAGGATGACTGCGGTGATGGCAGTGATGAGATCAGTATACTTTGTAGTAAGTGGATGGTAGTACTCTTCATTTTTAACAACCAAATTAAATGGTCTTTTAAGTGTGACATTAATCATATGGAAAAACCTGTTCCGGGTCCAAAACGAAAACCAGTTCTACGAAAATTGTTTTCAATTTTTCGTCAGGACTTGTTGTCTAAAGTTCGAATTGTTTCAGGAGGAAGTTGAGAATCATTGAGAACATTTTTCGCTTTATTTTAGTGGTTTTTGTGAGCAGTTAGTCCCGGAAATACGTCACAACTTAAAAGCTCTAGAAGCACGGCGTGACCGCAAAAATAAAAAATAAAAAACGGTGCAATATGAGTGCGCTTTCAGTTCATGCTATCATGGTTTGTAGCTTTTTCACGGTCCGGGAAACACGAGTGGTGTAAACTGCTAATGCGCCATCTCTCACCACTGTAGTCATTGGTTTGTTCCTCGAATCCCTCATCAGTGAGTGACGTTACTCGTTGGTCGGGTGGCATAGGTGGCGTAGTGGGTGACATTCCCCAAGTGGTTCATAACTGTAGCATGGGAAACAAGTTTTTGTACATTCAAATTAAAATAGGCATTATTTTGGATCTAGATTTTTAACAGTTATTTATTTGCTGTATTTTAGAATACCATAATTGCTTGCCGACTCAGTTTCGTTGTAAAACCGATGGTTACCGCTGTATCCCGCAGTGGTACCGATGTGATGGTCATTATCACTGCTCTGACAAATCCGACGAGAAAAAATGCCCTCAAGACTCTGCTGGATGCCAAAGGAACCAATTTAAGTGTCGAAACAATAAGTGTATCCCTAGTAACTTGGTCTGTGATGGTAATGATGATTGTGGGGATGCGATGGATGAGATATATTGTCGTAAGTACAAAACATTTTCCTTTCTCATGAGAAGGCCATTGGTGCCACGTCACAGATCTGTGATCAATTTGTGAAAAGTTTTCATAACAGTGATAATGCTCTGTTACCTTCAATGTAAGGAAATGATAAATTTCTGTTTAGAGGTTAAGGCAAATTACGACACAGTAATGTGATGTAGCTGCAGTATTACTTGTATACTATTTGTCTCTTTTGCTAGTTTGTAAAGATAACTATCTTGCTGTGGGATTCCTCACATCGGTTGTGGGACCTATTGCAAGTAAAATTATTGAACAGACGGGTATGTGTGATTTTGATAAGTAATTGCATCTTAAAAGGTAGCGAGGAGTAATTTTCATATTATCGCTTTCACTTGCAGCGTCAAGAAACAGGACATGCGCTATAAAAAACGGTGGGTGCTCCCAGAAATGCTCTGCTATCGGAACAGACGTGGTTTGTTCATGCTGGGCTGGATTCCAGTACAACTCAAACATCCACAAATGCGAGGACATCAACGAATGCCTTGAGATTGGAACATGTGAGCAGGAATGTATTAATACCCTTGGTAGTTACAGATGCATGTGCGCAGAGGGGTATGTCAGTAGAAATGGAAACGGGACGAATTGTAAAGCAGTTGGTAAGTGTTTCTGTCAATAAGAAATAACGTGCATCATTTGCATGCTTTGTATTGTGTATGCACACTTCAATTGAACCCTTTGATCTTTGCCTGAATGAAGAGATTAAAGAAATGCAAAACGCGCACGCGACTGTATGCAGTCATAAAGCACGTGGTTGTTGGCAGTACACTTGAAAAGTGTTAGGTAAAGCACGACACTTAGCGTAGTGCTTCTCAACACTTCTCTAGTGTTTTGCTAATTCCCTAGCGCTTTTATAACTCCACCCAGCACAGAAAGCAAGTTTTTTTTCTCATAAAGCACGCGTTCCCAACCAATCAGAAAGCGAGTTTATGACAGTATTTTTTTWWAATACTTTATAAAGCACCGAATAAACTCAAATTGTCTGTAACTTTTACTGTCGATTTTTTTCAATATTCTTTACGAAGCCGGCTGCGTGTGCCAGCGAYGTCAGCACCGTGCTCTGTTCTCTGTGTGAGCACAATTTTGGACCAGTCAGAGCACGCTTAGCGAGATGGCTCTATATAATGTATTTTGTCTTGTAGGAACATCACCGGTGCTGTTGTTTCAGACTGGCAGCACTATTCGACAACTCGCTGTATCACCTGACGGGTTAGGTGACTATGATAGTGGTGTTGATGATCTTATATCTGTTGGCTCACTCGATGTACTTGTGTCAGATAACATTGTCTTCTGGAGCGATCTCACTGACGGGACTATTAAACTTGCCAAGCTTCCAGGTGAGGACACACCGTTTATGTAAGCATTTTCCTCTATATCGATGATTTTGCGTTAAAGTCCCGCAAAAGAATGAAACAGCGAAAGTCACACACACACAAGGAAAAGAAATAAGAAAAAATGACGGCTATGTTGTTACGTTAAAAACTGCTCAGTGGATGACAAATTTGGATTTTAAAGTAGGTAAAGAGAAATGAACTGTACCTTCACTGACCATTGGTAACTTGACATTGAAATAATACTAAATCGGAGTAAATGCGTCTGTAATCAAGGAAGACGAGTATTAATGAATAGTCCCTTTCCGACAGTTTCCTTCACCATCTTGAAAAATAGACGTGCCTTTGCATCGAAGCGAGACGAACAGTGAGCTTGCAATGATAGAGACCTTTTTTAACACCTTGAACAATTATTCACATGTCTCTATCATTGTAAGCTCACCGTTCGTCTCGCTTCATTCAATGCAAAGGCACGGCACCCTTTCAAGAAGGCGCCGGGAACTGTGAAGGGRGCTATTGGAAAAGAGTGTTTTCATCACCTGGTCCGTTTCCTTTTTGAAGTCACGCACGATCTGATATTTGTCAATACTGAACGGTATTTAACAAGCCTATTATTTTTTTGTTTAATAAATTTGCAGAGATCACCAGAAACAGAATACGCCGAGAAATTTCTCCTTCGTCCTCTCCTCCAGTCCAAGAGCTCTCTCTGCCGGTTGGCGCTGCTGATGGTATTGCAGTGGACTGGATCGGGAGAAACATATTCTGGACTGACTCGAGAAAGCGCGTTATTGATGTGGCTACCATTGATGGGCGATACCGTCGTACTGTGGTGTCAACTAACCTTAAGGACCCTGGTGATATTGTGGTGGATGCGAATAGAGGGTAGGTCAAAAGTTTGCTCTTTAGTTAGTACTTATGTACCATCACAGTAGAATTTCTATTAAGAAAGATCAAGTGAACGTGACCGGATGTTGTCCTTTCCGTACCGTTACCGTACCTTTTGCCGTCATTTTCTCTGTTAGCCCTGCCTGTAGTGTCATCCTACCTTTGTGCAAACGCGGCCTTCAAAATCAAGTAGTTTTATGCTTATACCTCGTATCTGTTTTTTAATTCAATAGGCGTCTTTACTGGGCGGACCGAGGCTTCCCGCCCAAAATCGAGTCATCCAACATGGATGGTTCCAATCGAACATCTCTCGTAACAGAACACCTCGTGTACCCCTCCGGTCTCGCCCTCGATCAACCAGCTCAGCGGCTTTACTGGGCAGACCAGAAAATAGGGCAAGTGGAGGTGATTGGTACCAATGGTCAGGGACGAAAAGTTGTGTGGAAAGACATCGATCAGCCTAGTTCTGTTGCCGTACATGGCGACATGTTATATGTTGGTAGTGATCCTACTGGTCAAGTCTATCGAATGAATAAGCGTGGAAAAGGCTCTGTTGAGAAGATATTTGATAGTCTACCAAGGGTGACAGCCGTGAGGATAAAACAACAACAGAATCAAATAAGATTATCTGATTCAGGTAACTAAACAACGTAACGATAGTAAACCAAACCACATGAGGGGTACTGTTCAGGATTAACTATCAGTTTGACCAGCAGAAAAGGGTATTAGTTACAAGGACTGCAGACTGAATATCATTGTTTTTTTTCTTTTACGATAATTTTTTTAAACGTTTTTAAAATGTAATTATTATTATTATTATTATTATTATTTTAGTATTTATAATGTATACCTTAACAGAGAATATTTTTCTCATGAGAATGACATATGATCTAAAATGGGAAAACATTACGTCCAGCTAAAAGGGTCTAACCTAGTTATGTCGCACCCGCTAAGAAGAGCTGTCGAGATTGGCCAAAACCCTCGTATCGTTTTGGTTATGCTGTTTTTCGTTCTATTGTATTCATCCAGTTGGGTTAGATCTTTAGAGCTGCGACCTAGCCCGTTTTACTAAATGTCAAGTACCAGTATATTAATGTAGATCTGCTTTCCTGACCTAGGAAACCCCTGTGCTGTTAATAATGGTAACTGTACTCACCTGTGTCTCGCTACCAGTACTGGTGCCGTCTGCGCATGCCCGAATAATGATCACAACGATGTACAACCATGTTCGTCAGGTGAACGTTTCTGCGTTATACTACACAGAGGCTCAATTTAGGCCAATTGATGTTTGACAAACGATTATGATTAGATAAATTAAAAGTGGATTGCTGTTGATGGCCTTTGGAGAAAGGCCTAAATATTCAAAGTAATAAGACAAATGTTCTCGTATTCCTATTCCTTTAAAGTGGATTCATGTTAACTCGAAACCCTAAATTACCAGGTAAATCTCCAGTGTTCTTACCAGGCCGCGCCACTGCGGGATTCGCCCAAAAAAATCAAAAATGGCGCTCAAATGTCAACTCTATGCGCCCCCAAGGGCGCATTAATTTTCCAAAGAATACTTCCTGATAGTTTTAAAAGATTTATAGTACTTTTGAAATAATAAAAGTCGCATTATATTGTCAATAAACAAGGTGAAAGTCCACATGAAACGCCACGAATCGAACATAGCCGCCATCTTGTATTTCACTCGCCAAGAGGTCTAGGACTAGTCTATGTTAACTGACCTTGTTTATTGAAGGCTCAAATATGGCTGCCCAGCGAAATTTTATCGTGTTGTCATTACTAATAAAACTGTCTTACATTGTTGTAGATTTGCAACAGAGTTACTGGCTAAAAACATTATTATTCGTTGTTTTAAGATTTTGGAAATGGCCCGTCCAGTTTTGTAAATGGTCCCTAAATTTTGAATTGGTGGGCCCTTTGACCCCCGAAAGAAATTCCTGGAAAGAACACTGAATCTCTTTATACAGAAATTGTTTTTGCTATACGTCGTTCTTGTGATCTCGTGTTCTGCCAAATCCAGCCTCCTTTATAACTGCATTCTATATATTCATGATTACTTCTGTGGAACTATTGTTGATGCCTAACTGTCCTTGTGTTTTACCTACAGATATAGTTCAACCTCGCCCACCTCCAGCATGTTCGCTGACCGCATGTGGTGTGGGCACATGTCGTGATGTTGGGGGTAAAGCTCAATGCATGTAAGTGTTCAACATTTGCAAGTACAATAAAAATAAATTTGCTTTCAACTCAACTCAACTTTATTTTGCATATAGGTGTTAACCGTGTGCGGCAAAGTCTGATAATTTATCTTATTATCTTGAGCATAATGTATTCATATTTTGTACCAAATGTTATTGCTAGAGTATCATTTCTTTGTTTGACGTTTCCACATGGAAAGGCAACATGAATATGTATTTTAGTTACAAGAGAATTACACGTGGCCTGATATGGGTAAACATTACACAACAATGGCTTTGAACTCCTTTATAGTAGTAATAAAATATGTTAAATATGTTCAGATGTCCAGCGAGATATACTAGACCTTACTGGACTATACTAGTCTTTTGACCTTATACTTTTAATATATATTAATACTAATAGTGTTTGTGATATATATCAGTTGTCCAGCGGGATATACTGAACCATGCTGGACTATACTAGTCTTTTGACCTTATACTCTTAATATATATTAATACTAATAGTGTTTGTGATATAT